CAAGAATGAAGAACGAGAGGTCTGCAGACGACGGGAAGAACCGCAGGTCAGCTAGCGTAGCACGCAGCGTATCGTGCCATTCACGGGGCGCCTGTCGCATGCCATAGACCAGGCGCCTGAGGAGCCACTGGGTCCCAAGAGGGAAGGTACCGGTGAATCTCTGTGGACGGCGCAAGTAGACCTGCTCGTGTAGATTGCCCTGAAGAAACGCTGTGGAGAATTCGAGGGAGTGTAGCTCGTAGTCACGATGTGCTGCTACGTGTAGCAGCACCCGAAGATTCGTCATCTTCGGGGTCGGGGCGAAGGTCTGAAAGAAGTCCACACCCTCGCGCAGACTGACGCCTCTTGTGACGTAGCGCGCCTTGTATACAGGCGGCTCTCGAGTTGGGCGCTTCACCTTAAAGATCGGCCACTGATTACGTTCACCCAAGGTGAGGGAACTGCGTCGACGAAGGTGCCGGTGGATCTCCAATATGCCATCTCCTGCTCCATGGCAGCTATCCACTGAGAGGCCCAGGGTCCCGAGGTCGCCTCAGCGTAAGTGCGAGGGGTCGGTATGTCAAGGGCATCTAGGTTACCCTCAAGGACTAGCAGCATGGAATAGAGATGGGGGAGTGGCCTCAGACAGGAAAGCAAGCTCGTACTGCATGTCATCGAGGACATCACTGCCAAGGGCAGGAGCACCCTCGACGGACGGAGGGCAGGCAGGGCCAGAGACCAGAGCAGTGGCATAGTCAAGGCGGCGGGTAGAGGCAAAGTCAGCGACAGCACCGACAAGTGTGTCAAGACTCGAGACAGGAACAGACGGGTCGGTAACGAGGGAGGCAAGGACCCGAGGAACAAGAGGATGAGCCGCACAAAGGTAGTTAGACAGAGGAGGCAGAGCGACAACGAGCGACGACGGAGGAGGCGAGGGAAGGAGGGGAGGACAAGATGCGTGGGAATGAAACAACATGGGGTGAGAGTGCTAGACAGGAGAGACAGGACGAGGACGAGAGGGACGGCGAGACCAGAAGTGGATAGAGGCGTCGGATCAGGAGATACAGGAGGAGTCACAGGAGGAGAACGAGGGGGGAAACGAGCCGGGGACGAGTCCGGTGGAGGAAACATAGGGCCGTAGACAGGCAGGGCAGGCGGCGGTGGGGAAGGCGCTGGCGGATGGTCAGGGGAGGGAAGGTGGAGCAGGCGAAGGGCGGACACCGGCGGCGACGGCTACTGCTGCTCCACACCGACACCTGAACCACCAGCTTCCCCACGGCTACCTCCGGAACGCTCCACTCCAGCACCCCCAGAACGAGAACCCTCTCCAGCACCGGTGCCACCCCCGAGAACACCGGGACAAGCCACGACAGGAACCCCAGGACTAGCACCCTCAGAGCACTCGGACGGCTGCTACCGCTGCGGAAGCGGTGGCGACAGCTGCTGCTGCGATGACAGCTGCGGCTGTTGCGGTGGCGGTGACGGAGGAGAGGAAACCGGGGGAGAAATAGGTGGCAAGATTTGACCTGCGGAGCCACTAGAGTCAGCCGACTCCTCGACCGGGACAACCGATGGGAGGGGAGTGACGTGAGACACTCCAGACGGAGCAGGACGGGGACGGAGGGGAGCAGGGGCTACCGGGGGGGTGGGTATCAGAAACAGAGGCGGGGAAACCAGGAGACCTCGGTGGGGAAAGCGCTGGTAGAAGGAGACGGACTCATCGAGAGTGAAGTCCCGCGAGTGAAAGAAGCGGTGAGACGGCGGGTGGTAAAAGTGCCAGTCTGACGAGTCAAGAGGGAAACCAAGAAAGTCACAGGGGACCGTGCAGGCAGTGAGCTTGTGTGTACCAGAGGCACGAACGTGAGGGAGGCAGCCCCAGACGTGGAACGCGGACGTGCCACCAGGGAACCTGGTCCAAAGAAGAGTTGGCGAAACCTGCGGCCGCTGGGAGTGCGGCTACAGGTTAAGCTGGTGAGCGGCGTAGCGAATAGCGAATGGCCACAAAAAATGGGGTGCACCGGCATGGATCATAGAGGTACGAGCCACCTCCATGACCAAACCGATGCGTCACTCAGCGACCCCATTCTGCTGCGCTGAGTCCGGTAGGGTGTACGACTGGGTGTTGCCCTCAGCACGACAGAACTGGCCAAGCCGATTGGAGGCGAGCTCGCCGCCACGGTCGGAGTGGAGACACAGCATAGGGAGACCACGGTGGACGAGCGCAGCTACGACCCACGGGATAAGAACGTCAGGCACGTCGGCCTTCCGCTCCGGGGGAAACACCGTGGTGTAGCGCGTGTAGTCATCGATGAGCACAAGAAAGTAGCGCTCTCGGTGCAGCCCAGGGACAGGGACTGGGCCCCAGACTTCCAGGTGCTGGGTATGGAGTGGCGCTGTGGCAGGGCGAAGCGAGGAGGAATGAGGAGCACGGTGCAGCCGGCCCTCGATGCAGGGCGTGCACGGTGGCGAAGACGATGGAGGGAGGGCAGGGAGTGACGCAGGGAGACCTAGGATGAGACCGTGCTGAGTCATATGACGCAGACTGACTGACCTAGGCGGTGGTGCCACAGGAGCAACGGGTGAGTGAGCGACTGACACGAACAAGCCTCAGCAACCTGGGTAGACGCAGGACCCAAGGAGGACGCACCCACCGGGGGGGAAGCAGTGTCTAGCGTAAACAGGACAGACACCGGGTCCCGGGGGAACGTCGCAAAGGGGGCACCTAAGGCGGCCTCGGTACAGACACCGTACCGCTCGTGACCAGGGAACGTAGTGGTGACGCCGAGGTCCTGAAGACAGTTGACACCAACTAGGTTCCAAGAGAACCAAGGGATGAGGAGCACACCAACTAGGGCGGAAGCTGGTGGGCAGACCTAACCTAAGCTGATACCATCTCAGAGTAGCAGAAGAGACTAGAAGGAAGGGTACACGGTAGTTTTGACCTAATGTGATTTACTCACTTAAGGCATGCCTCTATCTAGGCTACAGCAACATATACAAATATGTTTGACAATACTCACCCTGAAAATCAGGATTTCATAACAAAACATCCTGATATCTGAGGCCCTGCTCTCCAACTTGATGCCTTCTATGGTGTTTAATACTGTACTCTTGCCTCTCCTGCTGTAGCTTGCTTCCATACCATTTTTATTGCTTGGTGCTGGTTGCATGCAGGCGATTACAACCTGCGGATATGGGAGGTCATTTGCAGGCGAGACGGTGCTGTTAGTGATGGTAAATTGTGAAGTAAATTGGGATCCGGTCACATCGTTCGTTGCATAGAAAAAGGGGGTCTCTTTATTAGAATACGAGAATGACTAGAAACAAGGGAGAACAAGGGAGATATAGGGTTGGAGTTGTACCCTCTAAGAACACACACCTATCTAGCCTAAAACTTCTACATACAAATATATGTTTAAGTTGACACTCTTATTAGTTTAGGCAAAATATATGGGTCTCCTCATTGGCAACCTTGTTTAGGAGAATCACGAGATCTAAAAACCACTGTGGCTATATCCAGAGTGTATATCCATGTTTTTTATGGTTTTAAAACGAGAACAAGGTTCGAAAAAATCAGGGTGTCCACAAAAATACCCTGACTGCATTAGGTTACTGACTTCATTTTTCAAAACACCCTGATTTTGACAGGGTTTGCTAAATTTCACCCTTTCTGGCTAGGCAAAAATTGAGGCATCCTGATTCTCAATGGTGGCCTAAAACCAAATTCTACACCTGTTTCTAGCTGTGTACAAACCACCTGGTTCTAGCTGAGAAAAAACCTGGTTTCTAGCATGATTAGCCTACCTAAACTTGTGTTGCAGTATTCAAACCAAAAGAGAATAGGAATTGTCAACAAGGCTAGGTAGCTAGGAAGGATAGGCGGCCATGGAAATGGCGTGAGGGTTTAGGCTAGGAAAGTTAACGAGAGAAAAGTGGTGGAGAATAGAAGAGAGAGGGATACAAGGAGGGGTATTGTACCCTCTACAGTAGGTTTCAGTAACGCCTACCAAGCCTAGAATTATATAATATATATATAATTTAACACACCCCCTAGGCTTGGTAGTAGAAGAACCCACACACACCCACACCCCCTAACCTAGCACCCCCATTCCTTGCAGCAACCGCAATGACTCCGGAATCGGTCAACACCCACGGCCCAGGAGATGGCAATGGCGGCAGCCACGGCATTGACGAGAGCGACGGCGGCGGTGTGCGGTGGCAAGTGGCCAACGGCAACAGTGGCGGCGGCGGCGGCTTCAACGTCAGAGGCGACTGCGGCGGCCCCCGCCCTCTCGACGGCATGGCCAATCTCATAACGGCTATGGGAAGGCCCTCACGAGGCAGTCGACAGCTGTGGCAAGGAAGAGGGGACGCAGGGGAGGGAGGGGGGGGGGGGGGTGGTCCAGAATCACACCTGTGGCAGGCGAGCGAGCGGCAGGTCTAGCGGCGCCACAGGCGTTGCGCGGCCGGCTGCCGTCCGACGGCGCCGCCACCGCAGCATTACGACGCCGCCACAGTGCGTTGTCGATGCCACGGCGGGACGTCGATGCTGCGACGGCAGCACGACGGCACCGTCACGCCGCCACGGCTGGACGTCGACGCCACGACAGCGCGACGCCATGGCAGCGTGTCGAGACGGCCGCGGCACGACGCGGCCAGCAGCACGACGACGCCGCCACAGCAGCACGACGCGGCCGCCATGGCAGCGTGAGAGGAAGAGGAGGAGTGCGCGGCGGAAGCATAGGGAGCAGGCTCGGGAAGGGCAACCTGCTTTGATACCATGTCAACAAGGCTAGGTAGATAGGAAGGATAGGCGGCCATGGAAACGGCGTGAGGGTTTAGGCTAGGAAAGTTAACGAGAGAAAAGTGGTCAAGAATAGAAGGAGGGATACAAGGATGGGTATTGTACCCTCTACAGTAGGTTTCATTAACGCTTACCAAACCTACAATTATAGAACAAATATATGATTTAACAGGAATATGTAATTATTAGTTCTCGCACTCTCCTGCACAATAGCCACAAAAGTGATGCACAACCATGATTCTACACGCTTGTGTAAATTGTATGTAACAAACTACATACTTATTCCCATTTGACAGAAGGAAAACAAATCTATAATAGCCACATCAATAACGACTTGGAATTTCAATCCTAACCCAGGCTCAATACTACCCACCAGGAGCTGACAATTCCCATGGCAATCATCTATGCCCATCACCACTTGGGATTCTGCCCTGCCACGTCTAGCCAGGAGCTCAGATCAACAAACGGCTCAGGATCAAACTGGGAGGCATCTGAGATGATGCCCGGGTGCACCCAGGACGCCCGCGAGGTGCGAGCGCCAGGTCCCGTGCTGCCCTTCTCTGCATAGTACACACAGCTGCCCCACGTCTCGCCGCCCCACGTGCTCCACCCGTCCGAGTTGAGCTCCTGAGAGGGTGAGAAGAGAAAGGTGTAAGCGGCGAGGCGAACAGCTGTGAGTGGCCTGGACGACAGACGGCCGTGCAGATGGGGAAAACCCCACCGCCTAACGGCAAATCAAGAGTACTTAGAGTTAGACTCATAGTCAAGGGTAGACGTGATTGGCTTGATCAAACGGCTATGAGGCTGGGGTGAAAACCACAGCATCAGCACAGCAGAGCAAGCATCCGCTGGTATCACAGGAGGCACGCGCAGCTCCGCCACGTCCGCCCCAGGTACACGTCCGTCACCCCGGGGCGGTCACTCCGGTCCGGGGGCATGGAATGAAGGGGAATGATGGCGCCAGGGCATCAACTCACCGGGGGCATGTTGGTGTTGACGTACACCACTCGCGCGCAGCTCCGCCACGGCCGGCCCAGGTACACGTCCGTAACACCGGGGTCCGCGGAAATCCGCGAGTCGCGGATGACGATCCCCGTGGGCCCGGCGGTCTCGCGGCCAGACGCGGTGATGGTGACGAAGGAGTGGCTCGTGTGCAGGCGGATGTCGATGTTGTCCAGCACCACCGCCGCGTCGCCGAAGATGAAGTCGATGGTGCCGCCCACATAGCAGTTTTTGTAGTACTGCCGCCCGGAGTCCACGTACAGCGTGTCCTGGTGGGGTGGGGGGAGAGAGAGAGAGAGAGAGGAGTAGAAAGTAGACCGTGTGTCAGTCTCGTGCTCTGACACTGCAAGGCTGGGGTGTCAGCGGCTCGAGAGCCCAGCTGTAGCCTGCTGAACAGTGAGCATAGATTCGGCCATCACAAGAACTTGGCACTGCATGTTTACCTGGAAGCCTTCGAACGCGCATTCAAAAAAGGCAGAAGCATCCCCACTCGCCCGCATCGACACCGCCTGCTCGTTCGCCCGCCCCGCCGTGTTCACGAACTTCACTCCCAGCGCCACGAAGTTATCTCTATTCGCCCCAATCGTCGCCGACTTGTACGTCGTCGACCCGCCGCCCATGCTTTTGCTGCCCGTGATGATGGTCTTGTCCGACCCGTCACCCACGAAAATGATTCCCTCGTTGTCGAACTGCACCACCTCGTCGTACGTCCCCGCCTTGATGTAGATCACGAAGCGGCCCTTCTTCGGAGCGGCGCTCACCGCGTCCTTGATGCTCGAGTACTGCCCGCCGCTGCCCACCACCGCGTCGGGCTTCAGGCTCGGGGAGTACGACCCGCCGGTTACTCCACCGCTGCCGCCGCCGCCGTTGCTCCCGCTGCTGCTGCTTCCGCCGCCGTTACCCTTGCGGTTCCGCCCCTTCCCCGGGTGATGCCCGACGCCCTTGGGGTGGTTGACCTTCTTCCCATTCCGCCACAGATGCGCGTGCCCGCCAATGCCCGGGGAGTGGTTCCCCCCGCGCTTCTTCCCGTTTTTCCAGAGCTGCTTGTGCCCACCCACGCCGGGGGGATGTCCGCCTTCCTTCCGCCCGCCATTCTTCCGCCCGCCCTTACGCCCGCCCTTCTTCCGCCCGTTCTCCCAGAGATTTGCGTGTCCGCCAACGCCGGGGGGGTGTCCGCCCGCCAGCTCCCGCCGGTGGATCTCCGCGGGCGCGGGGAGACCGAGCAGTCCGCGGCGCTTCCCCGCCCATCCCTGCGCGCCGTCGTGGTCCCCCTGCATGTGCGCCTGCAGCTCCTTCAGCTGCTCGTACAGCCCCGCCTCCAGCCACTCCGGATGCCCCCCTTCCGCGCCATTCTCCAACGCCTGCCGCCCGCGGGATGCGCGCGCCGAAGCGGCGGCTTGCGACGTCAAGTCGATGGCGGCGACGAGCGTTGACTTGGTCTTGGTGGTCTCCGCCTCGAGGTACACGCCGGTGGGCGTGGAGAGCGCGGAAGGCGCCATTTCGCGGTAGCCCGCGAGGCAGTTGGCGAGCTGCGTCTGCGCCGTCTGCAGCCAGTAGGGTAGGTCAAGCACGTTGCTGCCGCCACCGATCGCCGCGGACGACTTCTCCAGCTGCGCCAAGGCCGCGCTCACCTGCGAGAAAGATAAAGGGTAAGAACGGACACGACAGAAGGGAAGTGTGAGAGCGTGGAGAGGTGGAAATTCGGCGAGATTCAAGTGTATTAGCGCTTTGCTGTTTGGGTCTCTTCCGTTCGAGGTGCGTCGTGGTCCCCTGGCGCTGTTATCGCGTACCTGACTGGAGCAGTCGTCGCTGACGGCGTCAACCTGCGCGTTCTGCCCGCCGTTGGCCGTGCGGATTTCCTGCACCAGCGCCAGTCCCGCCGCCACCTTTGCGCGCGCCGACTCGATCATCGCCGCCGTCACCTGCTGGCTCGACGCGGGGACCGCGCCCAGAGAGCGGCGCGCGACGCGGTACTCCGAGACGCAGACGTCTCTGGTTGAGGAAGTGGCGCAGACGGGCGGGTGGCGGATGACGTAGAAGTTGTCGACCGCGTGGAACGTGGCGACAGACGCGAGAGCCACGGTCGCCGCGATGGCGAGCCACTTGAGCGCGGATTTCGCGAGCACGCTGCCGGTGCCCATCTTGGCGGTTTGTGAGAGAAGAAGGTCAGTCGGTGAAGCTCATGCAATGATCAAGTGAAGGATTGATCGCTTGGATGGGAGAACGAGAGAGCTAGGAAGTTGTGAACCAGATTCGGAAGAGGCTGAATTCGATAGTTCATATGGAATGAGGGGGGACGAGGGAATTTGTAGCTAGTAGATTTGGGTGGCAAGTAGGGGCGCTTAGGTTGGAAGGGAGGTGTGGAGGAGGGGCGAATTTGGGCTCGGAATTTACAGGGCTTGTGAGGGCCAACACACGAGGGAGACGTGGTGGTGGTGCTTGAAACAGATGATGAATGTCAGGGTGGAATCTCTGGTTTGGAAACGCTTTTCCCTGGACATTGCCGAACCGCATCTGGCTGCTCACGTCGCGCTTGGTGCGACGGCGTCGCTTTGCTCCGAACCTGACTTGATTGGACCAAAAGTACAACAGACAGCCCTCAATGGGAGGTTGGGATTGTGTGTGGTGTGAGACTGGCCCTCGGCGAGGTAAGAGAGGCTTGGTCCGCAAGCTGGTCGGTGTGGGTCAAGAGTGGCAAGTTTCCTGGTTTGACATCTTGTAAATCGGACGAAGAATCTCGACCGTCGAAAACATTATTTAGCTACACCCGTTAGGCTCGGGTCTCAAAACGAGGTATGGTTTAGCAGGGAATTGAGGTTCGGAACGGAAGCTATGGTGCCGCAGCGTGCCCTCCCCTAGGCGCGCGTGGCCTGCGTGTGTGGCACCACTCACTTGACAGTCAAGGTGCAAGGTCCTTATCGCGCTGCGTCGCGTTCTGCAGTTTCCCGACAAAGGAAGAACACAAAATACACGACAATGTAAACATGTATCAGCTCCAATATGATCATTAGCCTTTTGTCATTCAATGGTGTTGTGGTTGTCATGGTGGAAAGAGCAAACATAATTCTGTACTTTGATTGACGTTCTATATTGTCGGCAAGTGTCCTGAGAGCATGTCTGCGCAGCAGGATGTACGTCCTGTAAAGTTCAACCCAGCACCATTGTTTGAGGACGCCATCACTCTCCCAATCTGACCAACCCCAAGGCTCGCCCAAGCCAAGCTCCTGGTGTTGTTGGCAATTTTCCTGTAGTGAAACACAAGCAACATTCTCAAGGGGAACATTCACTTGGCCCTCTGCACTACCTAGCAAAAACACCACATGGGTTGGCACTAAGGGGCTATAGGCCCATGTGCCACAAGCAAGTGAGAGGTGTCGTTCACGCGCACTAGTCTCCAGCCGCTTGCTGGCAAAAAGGCCACCACGCTAACCGATGTATGGTCCACTGCTATTTTGTGGGTCAAATGTGGGCTCGACCCCATCAAGCCCCGCAAAAGACACTTAATCGCAGTGCAGTGTGAAAACAAGCCGATGCGGCGCCTTGCCACGCTCTTGGGTGTACCTTCCCCAGGTGTAACACTAGCCTGTGCTGCCATGGGTTGCGCTGTATGGGTGAGTGCAAGGCGATTCAGAAACTCCACCATGCGGTACTCCACCTGCGGCCAGAGAACACAGCCAGAACGGCAGAGCGGTAAGGAAGAATGAAAGAAAGAAAATGAAGACAACGAAGAAAAACAAGAAATAATGGTCAGAATTAGATGGAAAATAGCACGCGTTTGGGCTGCATCCTCTGCGCATGAATGAATGCTCTCCATTCACCAGCCATAGCTGACAAGAAGCCATGGGCCCCTCCCAGGGCCCATGTGAAGCCTACAGTCTACAGCCTACTAACATAAGCTGCCCGAGCGTGCTGCTGTCTACCGGGATTCTCAGAGGAATGGCACGCTGACCTGGCGTTGGGATTCGCCCCCCGGGTAGCTGAAGTCGGGCTGTGTGGCTGTCATCCAGGCCAGGGCAACATCGGAGGAAAACATTTCTGCCCGGGGCTTCCCCTCCCAGTCGCCCGCACTCATCTCCTGCAGCTCAGGAGCCTCGTGTATGTGGGCAGGTGGGAAGCCCAGTGCCTGGGGGCATCATGAAAGGGGGTGAAGGGGAGAACAGAAGGGGGGCGGGAAGCATGAAGTATGATGAAGAGCAGTTGAGCGTCAACAATGCCCGCACTCGTCTCCTGCAGCTCAGGAGCCTCGTGTATGTGGGCAGGTGGGAAGCCCAGTGCCTGGGGGCATGAGGAAGGGAGAGGGTGCGTACGGGAGTGGGGTGGAAGGTGTGAGGTGCGGTGTGGAGCGGTGGATGTGGATGAGCTCTGTTGTCAGCACTCGTCTCCTGAACCTCACATGCCTCGTGTATGTGGACAGGCGGGAAGCCCAGTGCCTGGGGGCATGAGAGAGGGTGAGAGACGATCTGTGTGGTGTGTGGCGCAGGGGACGCGCAATGCACGTCGTCCCACTCAATGGCGACACAGAGCCGCAGTAAGGTGATGAGGGTATAGGGCTTGTTGGCAGCCGGAGGGGGTGGGTGGGAGTTCATGTGCGATAGTGTGAGAGGGTGAGAGAGAGGGCATTCACCTGGCAGACGATCTCCGCAGTGTGTGTGGCGCGGGGGATGGGCGAGCAATGCACCGCGTCCCACTTGAGGGCAACACAGCGCCGCAGGAAGGTGCCCAGGGCGAGCGCTTGCTGGCAGCCCGTGAGAGGAGTGTGAGGGTGAGTGAGTGTGAGTGCGAGAGGGGGGATTACCTGGCAAACAATGTTAGCGGTGTGCTTGGCGCGGGGGATGGGCGAGCAATGCACCGCATCCCACTTGAGGGCAACATAGCGCCGCAGGAAGGTGCCCAGGGCGAGCGCTTGCTGGCAGCCCTTGGGGGTGAGCAGAGCCGAGGGCGAGCGACCGGCGATGAGGGCGGGGTTTTGGGTTGACTCTGCATGCCTGGGCAGGGGGGAATATAGCGGAGGGGGAGGAGATATGGAATGTGTGACAGCAACGTTTGTTGCGGCGGCACGCATGGGGGAATGGAGGGCGACGGGAATTTGGGGGGCTGGAGGACGAGGGAGAGGGGGAAAAGAGTGGGGGGAAGGCAGTGGGGGGAAGGCAGGGGGGGGAAGGCAGGGGGGGGAAGGCAGGGGGGGAAGGCAGTGGGGGGAAGGCAGTGGGGGGAAGGCAGTGGGGAGAAGGACGGGATTTGGGCAGGTCAATGGGGAGCTTAGAGGAGGAGGTGTCAGTGAACGAATGGAAAGGGTTATGGCCGATGTGAAACTGACGATGAGGGAAGGGGAGCGCGGGGGGGAGTATAAGGGGAGCTCCACCTGACACCTGATATGAGGCATTATACATATGTGAGACGTCTCAAAACTAGTTCTAGTAGCAGCATGGGTATCATATGGAGTGTCACTGGATGATGTTTAACTTGACATTGATGCTGCTGCTGCTGGCAGCCAGTATGAGTGAGAGCATGGGGAGATGATGTGGACGATGGCACCATAGGGAGACGATGGAACGGGGGGGCCAAGAGCAGGCGTGCTGCCTCACCTGATGATGTGAAACTCGACGGTGATGCTGCTGCTGCTGCTGGCCGCCAGAACGGTTGAGAGCCAGGCATTGTTGGGCGGCGACCGGGAAAGCAAGGAGGGCGCATTAGAAGAGGAATGGGCCACCTCCAGTACTGCTGCGTCCGCAGGTGCTGCTGCTGCTGCTTCTCGCACTTCCGCCTCTTCTGCTGCCTTTACCGGCGCTAGCAGCGGTGTGACTTGCTCTGCTACAGCCTGCTTGTGGGCTGATACTTGCCCCTGCCCCACTGCCTCCGCGCCAGCATCAGCAGCGTTTGATAGTGCGCTTGCAACAGCAGCAGCAGCAGCATAAAGAGCAGCAGGACCAGCGCCATCGTCACCAGCAGCAAAGGCCTCAGTGGAAAAGGCGGGAACCGAGGGAGGCGAGTGGTCCAGCATGCCTTCATTACTCCGCTCATCGCACGGAGCAACTGCTTCTTGGGGATTCTCACTTCTCTTCCCATTGCTGCTCCCATTGCTCCTGCCATCGGTGCTCCCGGGGTAACTGTTGCTGAAAGACATTGCCACTGCTCCCACCGTGGCCCCAATCACCCCTCCCACTGACTCGTCCCCATCGGGCCAGAACCGCGGACTGGTAACCAGAGGGGTGCCGCTTGGAGACCCCCCCATCGACCCTGTTGCTGTGTTCATGGTTCCAACAGACCCCATCGACCCCACCGACCCCACTGATCCCGCCCTTGCCAGCAATGCTGACAGCCGTGCTGCCCTCGCCTCCAGGTGCCTAGTCCTCTCCCTCTCCTCCTCCTCACCCCCCCCACCCCCCTGCATCACTGCGTACGTTCCCTCCCCCGTCCCTCCACCCTCCTCTTCCTCTGCTCCTCTCCCCCTTGACCGTTCCCTGTATACTCCTGCCCGTCTCTGCTCCCCTGTGCCTGCTGCCCCTGCACCCTGCTCAGCAGCACCCACAACAGCCGCATCTGCTGCTGAGGCCACAGGAGTAAGTTTTGGAACGGTGCTAAGTGCTTGAACGGTGCTAAGTGCTTGAACAGTGCTAAGTGCTGGAGCGGTGCCAGGTGCAGTTTCGGTGCTAAGTGCTGGAAAGGGTGGGTAAGTGTGGATTCTACCACTGGATGTGCTGCCAGTAGGGGAGAGGAACTCAGGCGTGCCAAAATCACTGCCATTGCCTCCATCGCTGCCACCGTCGCTACCACTGTCTTCTGCACCACTACTGGCACCATCAGCATTCGCACCAAAGGCACCATCACCAGCACCATCACCAGCAGCATCACCAGCAGCATCACCAGCAGCATCACCAGCAGCATCACCAGCAGCATCACCAGCAGCATCACCAGCAGCATCACCAGCAGCATCACCAGCAGCATCACCAGCAGCATCACCAGCAGCATCACCAGCAGCATCACCAGCAGCATCACCAGCAGCATCACCAGCAGCATCACCAGCAGCATCACCAGCAGCATCACCAGCAGCATCACCAGCAGCATCACCAGCAGCATCACCAGCAGCATCACCAGCAGCATCACCAGCAGCATCACCAGCAGCATCACCAGCAGCATCACCAGCAGCATCACCAGCAGCATCACCAGCACCATCACCAGCAGCATCACCAGCAGCATCACCAGCAGCATCACCAGCAGCATCACCAGCAGCATCACCAGCAGCATCACCAGCAGCATCACCAGCAGCATCACCAGCACCATCACCAGCACCATCACCAGCAGCATCACCAGCAGCATCACCAACACCATCACCAGGAGCATCACATTCCCCATCCATGTCTCCCAGCGCCCCAGAATGTGGCTCCTCCGCATCCTCGTCCCTTGCTGGCCGCATGGCCACTGTGGCACGTACGTCTGCCCGCACGACGTCTGCTGCCCCCTCGTCTGCTGCACCCTCGTTTGCTGCACCCTCGTTTGCTGCACCCTCGTTTGCTGCACCCTCGTCTGCTGCACCCTCGTCTGCTGCACCCTCGTCTGCTGCACCCTCGTCTCCTCTTTCTGCTACCACCTCTGCCACCGCTCCCCCCCCTCTCCACCCCTCACTTTCTGCCGCTGCTGACTCGTGTCGCGCTGCTGACGCGTCTCCTGCAGTGGCAGGCCTTTCTACTGCCCCCTCTGCTGCTTTAGCACCAGCTTCGCCCTCTCTAGACCCCCCCCCTTTCTCCTCTTTCTCTGCTACCCCTCGTTGCTCCGCGGCAGCCTCACTGGCCCTATCAAGCGCGCGCGACACAGCAGCCAGCACGCGCTGCAGCCGCACAGGGGACCCTGGCTGCGACGACGCTGCAGCCTCGGCAGCAGCTTCGGCACCAGCCTCGGCAGTCGCCAGGGCTGAGGCGGCGGTTCGGAGTGGAGGCATGGAACGGGCTTCAAACGAAGCAGCTTCGGTCTTGTCTGCGCCTCCCCAATCAGCAGCCCCTGTTCCCCCGCTCCTCCCCCCTAGTCCCACACGCCCCCCACTCGCGCCCTCCCCCCGCCCCGCTCCCGGCCCTGGCAATCTCGCCAGGGACTCCCCTCCCCCTGGCATTCCCCTTCCCCTCCCCGTTCCCCCTTCCATCCCCCCTGGACCCCCCATGCCCCCTCTCGAGCCTACCCCTCCTTCCCTGCCCGTAAATATTTTTTCTGCTGACTTGCCATGGGCGGCTGCCAGCATGGCAGCTGTGACGTGTCGTTCCCCGTTCCCCCCGGCGGCCACGTCAGCGTCGGCGGGAGTGCCGCGCCCATCGGGGGAAGTGGCGGAAGTTGACCGGCTGAGGCGCGACGATCCGCGCGAGCCTTTCCGCCTGTGGTGCGCCCTAGGCTTGCGCGTAGCGGGATGCGCGGAAAGGGGGAGATTCGCGGGATCGTATGGATCAGCGGAGTCAACGGGACGGGGGGAGGAAAGGTCAACGGAGTCAACGCTACGGGGCGAGCCGATGGACTGGGTGCGATCAAGCGAGTCAACGGAGTCAACGGAGTCAACGCTCTCAACGCTGTCGTGTCTCGCGTGCTGGTGCCCTCCCCCCGCAGCATCTATTGGACCGCGCCCCTGGCCGTCCCCTGCGCCTTCCCCGAGGTTCTTCCGCCGTTGCTGCTGCTGCGCCTGATGCTCTAGACTCGTTATTTCCCCGGAGCCTGCATCCTCTCCCTGCGCCCTGCGACGCTCCCGCTCTCGTCGCCGCTGCTGGTTACCCTGTTGTCCCTCGTCGCCCTCCTCGTCTGAATCCGACACAACGAGAACGGACTCGACTGCGCCCATGATGAAACGACGATGCGGAGGAGTCACATAACGGAGCAGCGTGTAATGCGGATGTGTCACCCCACTGAGAAATTCAACGAGCAACTCGCGTTGGGTCCTGTCAGAAAGAAAATCCCAGCCAATGCTTTCTCCTGGAGCAAACCTTTGTGTACACGTGTGCGAGGCGAATCGGGCTACCGAATGGCCTGAAATGGCAAACAGAAGGCATCGTCCGCTACTGTGGATTCAGGATTCAGGACTCCGGATTCTGGATAATTCAGCTTAGGCGACGAGGGAGGAATGAAGTAGTTTTGGGACCAGGCCTATATTTCAGTTTTGGATTCTTCTTCGATCTAATAACGGAGACTACAGAAAACACATCTCTACTACACTATATAGTCAGAGAAAATGATTGTAGACAGCTATTGAGGGGTGCAGAAAACACATCTCTGCTACAAATTCTTGCATGTGGTGTACAGGCGAATAATTTCCGCGAGGGGTGCTACTTTGCACCTTCCCTCGGTATAACCCCGTTCGTCACTCCAACCACACCGACCGACACCTCCGAAGCAGGGCTATTTTTTTTTCGTTTTTCAAGACCCAGCGGTCTCAGGATTCGCGTCACTAAAGATCCTGAAAATTCAGCATTCCCTGGAAAATCTCTCTTTATTTCAGGATTACTTTGACCTTTCAATCTGAAAATCAGAGTGTTTTTGGGACTCCCGACATATCAGCGGAGCCTGTCACTTCGAGTACAAGCAGGAAGGACATCGATGGAAGAAACGATGGAGAAGAATACAGAACACACTCTTGCTGCTGCTGTTGTCCCTCACCACCACACCGAGTTCGACTCTTTCCTTGTCAATTGCGACAGAAATGCGTACAACTTAGAGGGGAAGTGCGCAACCTGGCTAAGGTGATATTAAGGGGTTGTGATAAGTCTGACAGGCCTGCACTTCTGTAGTCGTGAAAGTTCCACGGGTCGCACCTTCAGATTGCGTGGAAAATTGGTCAGGGTTGCGAAGGAATTGGGGGGGGGGCGGGTAGGGTTGCAATTCCAGCACGGGTAAGTTTCCATGCCAGTCGGATGGCAAGGATATTTTTTCCCGTAATCCGGATTGCTCTGGGAGTTCCTTGGAAACACCCGGAACCAGTCAGGAGGTTCGTTATTTTGAAACCCTCAAAATTAGAATTTCAGAAAAAACTACCCTGAATGTACCTGACATTCCGGATGTTTACCCTTGAACCGAGAGCCCTGCTCCGAAGAGTTTCAAACTCAGCCTCCATTCGATAATGTCATGCACCCTACAGTACCGTGCCTTCCAGCATCATCCCAAGTCAATCAGATCAGACCTCCCCCCTCTCCCTCCCATCCCCCCCCCCACCAGCTGGAGATCCCCCCAATGACCCCCCCAACCCCACCCCCCTCCACCTGGCAGCACCAACTAACCAGCTTCCCCCCTCCTCTCCCCCGCACCCCCATTTTCCATAAGGCGGAGCGGAGATCCCAAGAAATGGAGCTAGCAATGCCAATGTCGCATTTGAGTATCACATTGTTAGGTACGCGTAGGTGATGGATGGTGCGAGCTGGCAGGCTCCACGCGTAAGCCTCTCAATCTAGGCCGCCGTAGAAAGATGTTTCTGCGATAGCGATATTCGATGGTCTCCAGGAACAATCGACTATTTATTTGACGACATCGTCCCCTTGGGAGTTGTTTTAAATCTATTAGCACAGCTGGAGCCACGCTAAGGGAGAAGCGTCGCCGTTTCGACTGACGACCTCGCGTGCTCGAAGCTCCACCGAGCGTCCTTGATGGTGCGCTCATCCCTCCCCCCTTGCCGCTCATCCCTCCCTCCTTGCCGCTTGTTCCTTCCCCCCTTGCCGCTCGTCCCTCCCTCCTTGCCGCTCGTCCCTCCCTCCTTGCCGCTCGTCCCTCCCTCCTTGCCGCTCGTCCCTCCCCCCGTGCCGCTCGTCCCTCCCCCCTTGCCTGTCATCCCTCCCCTCATGCCTCTTGCCATCCCGTCCTTGCCTATCGCATCTCTGCTCTCTTCCTTCATTTCGTTCTCCCTCCTCCATTTTCTCTAGTACGATAAGCTCTTCCTCTTTTCTCGTTTTTTTATTTTTTTAAATCCCTTGTATGTCTTTGCAAGTCACCTTGAGCCTCTTAGTCTAAGCGCTGTCGCACTGCCGCTACATTCTCTGCATGCCAATATCTCTTTCACTTCGGTCTCCTCGCACTTATTTTGCTGCTCGTTGATATCCCCTGCTCCGTGATCCCCGCGCGCGTGTGGTCCCACTGTCCAGGACGGCGACGGCAACGCGAGTGCCTCTCCGCTCCGTGCTGCTGCTGCCGGCCTTCTCGCGCGATTCAAGGCAAGTCGCTGACCTGCAACCCTTTGCAGGCCGCTCAAGGCCCGTCTGATTTTCCTTGAACATCTCTGGGAGAGAGGAAACTAGTGCAGTGCACTGAGCCGGCAATGACATGGTTATCTAGAAGCGCCTTGATGTGACTCTTGAGTCGACTCGAAAGTGTGTAATGAACAGCCGATGGTGTATGGTTTCTCGGAGATGTATAAAAACATCAGCATGCCTCCACATTCCGTAATCAATCTTACTCCACGCCACGCACGCGCGGGCGCGCTCTGCAATGGTAATCATTGGATTCCGGGAAGCGACGTCTGGTGGCTTCAGTGCGGCGAAGCGAACCCATGCATGCAATAGTGCTGCTTCGCCTCCCTCTACCAGCTAAGACCGTTAATGCGCTTAAGCAGAGGGAGCAGCAAGAGCCAGGTTCCCAATAGAACGACCCTCCCCCCCCCCCCCCCTCCCCTCCCGACCCCCCTCCCCTCCCCTCTCCCTCCCTGCCCCCCTCTCCCCAGCCCGCGTCCCCCTCACCAGCAAAGCCCGCCGCGAAGGAAGTAGAGGCGGAGGAGTCCGCCGCATCCGCGAAATTCCCCCCCAGCGCGAGCCGATCGAGCAGCACCAGCAGCACGCCCACGTCTGCAGGCGCCGCCACCAGCAACTTCGGCAGAGGCGGCAGCAGCAGCGGTACCGGTGCTGGTACTGGTGCTGGTGCTACTGGCAGCAGCAGCAGCGGTAGCAGTGGGGCTGCGAGGAGGCCGAAAAAGACCCTCCCTAGTGCTGCTGCTGCAGCAGGTGCGGACCCGGGCGGGGACGCGGGGTTGCTGCGCACAGCGTCGGGCGCATCCACCGACTCGTCCAAGAGCCGAGGCAGGCGCGCAGCAGCGGCAGCCGCGCAGGGGGAGGGCGGAGAGGAGGGCAGGGCGGGGCGGGCGAGGGGAGGCGGGGTGGGGGAGCACGCTGAAGGCATGGAGGGCGATAGGCACGAGGTAAGGCGGCCAGCATGAGGCGAGCCGTGCTGGTTTGACCTGCCTCTTTCTCTACTGTTTTCGCTTCTGAGGGGAGGGCAGGGCGGTCGAGGGGAGGCGGGCGGGTTGGCGGAGCACGCGGAGGGCATGGCGGGCGGGCAGCATGAGGGAAGCCGTTTGTGTCACCTCTTTCACACGCACATGAGGGCATACTCGCACCCACCTGAAGCCTTATAGCAGTGATTCTTATCGTGCACTCAGGCGTGCATTTTCCACCAGCTGCACTGCACTGCCTTCTCGCATCTTCCTTTTCTGTTCTCCCCTCTGATGTCATTCCGTCCCGGTTATGCTGTGCTTCGTTTGCAGGACGAGGACGGTCATAAGAAGAAGAAGGACGCCAAACGCTCTGCACGGGTGAGAGCCACACGCACACCCCTTGCCCTTTCGCCCTCGTGCACATATGGCGCTTACAAAACTCTCCCTTGCCCCTCCCACCCCTCGTTTACCCTTCCCTCTCAACATACTCGTTCCGGCTCCCCTCAGGAGAAGGATCTTCTTCTTCCAGATTTTTGCTCCTCTTCTCGCTCCTCTGTTTGTTCGTCCCGCTGCCAAAGGAAAACGCGGGCGGAGATTTGGGGCGAGGTGGAGGGGCCAGGGGACCAGGTGGCGTGTGAGTCGACTGAAAAGCCATTCCTTCACCTTTCTCTTCATCTCGTTCTTGCTCCGCTCCTGCTTGCTCCCGTCACTCTTCTCGCTCCTCTGTTGTTTCCTCTTCGCTCTCTCCCCCCCCCACCAGAAGGAAGCGCTCTGGAGGAGATGCGGGTTGACGTGGAGGCGCTGCGGGAGCAGCTGACTCAAAAGTTATTCTCTCGCCTCTTTATTCTACTCCTTCCCGCTCCTCTCTCCCCCCTCCGCCAGAAGGAGGCGGTTGAGGAGATGCGGGGCGTGGTGGAGGCGGGGGAGAAGGCGCGGGACGCGGACGACCGGGCGAGGGAGGAGTCGCGCAAGCGGCAGTACGTGGAGGCGGTTATGGCGGAGCTGGCGGAGCAGATGCAGGCGGAAACCGAGAAGCGCCAGGCCGCTGAGAAAGTCATTTTCTCACCTTTTATTCTGCTCCTTCCCGCCCCTCTCCCCGTCCCCGTCCCCGTCCCCCTCCCCCCACCAGAAGGAAGCCTTGGAGGAGATGAGGGTTGAGGTGGAGGCGCTACGAGAGCAGCTGAAAGGGGCGGAGGACCAGGCGAAGGAGGAGTCGCGAAAGCGGCAGTACGTGGAGGCGGTTATGGCGGAGCTGGAGGAGCAGATGCAGGCGGAAACCGAGAAGCGCCAGGCCGCTGAGAAGGGGCTCAAAGACGCGCGCAGGAAGCTGGAGCGGGCGGGGTCTGAGGCGGGTTCGGAGGGGAAAGAGGGGCGGGGCGGGGAGGGGAGAGGGGGAGAGGTGGCGGAGTTGGAGGAGAGGTTAGAGGAGGCGGAGAGGCGGTGGGAGGAGGAGAGGGATAGGGTGTTGGAATTAGAGCAGGAGCTACAGATGGTGGATGAAGAGATGAAGCTGGAGAGGGATTCTATGAGGGAGAGCATGGCCGCGTATGCTAAGGGCATGGAGGATTTGGCTACTCAGGCGGAGGATGATTTTAGGCGGCAGATTGAGGACGGGAAGGATGATTTGGAGAGGGCGAATGCTGAGCTGGAAGGGGTGAGGGATGAGCTGGACAGGGCGAATGCTGAGCTGGAGCGGGTTAGGGATGAGCTGGAGAAGGCGCAGGATGAGGCGGCGGAGATGCGAGGGAGGGCGGAGGAGGCGGAACGGAAGGGGGAGGAGGCGGAGCGGACGGCGCAGGCTGCTGTGAGGAAGGTGCTGGAGGAGAAGGGGAGGCGGGAGGAGGCGGAGAGGGAGGCGGAGGAGTGGCGGAAGAAGGGGGGGAGCGCTGGGGGCAGCGGAGAGGAGGGTGGGAAGGGAGCCGAGAAGGGGGATGAGAAGGCAGGGAAAGGAGGAGGTTTGGAGGGGGACAGTGAGGTGGAGGAGCTGAGAGAGCGGTTGGATGCGGCGGAAACGCAGAAGGTGAATCTGCTGGAGCGGTGGGAGGAGGGCGAGCAGCGGCGGGAGGAGGCGGAGAAGCAGCGGGACAAAGCAGAGGCCATGCAGCGGGAGCTGGAGTCCGAGCTGATTGAGCTGGAAGCACAGTTAGGGCGACAGAGGGCGAAGGTGGAAGAGGCGGAGGGGCGGATGAGGACGCTTGAGGCACAAGTGGCTGAGGTGGAGGCAGAGGTAGGGGTGCAGAGGGCGAGGGCGGAGAGGGCCGAGGGAGAGGTGAAGGAGCTTGAAGCGAGGATAGAGCAGGAGAGGGAACGGGCGGAGGGAGCGGGGCAACAGGTGGCAGAGCTGGAGGCCAGGCTTGGGCAGGAGAAGGAACGGGCGAAGGAGGCGGAGCGGGAGGTGACGGAGCTCGAGGGGAAGGTGGAGAAGCAGCGGGCGCGGGCGGAAGAGGCGGAGGGGGAGGCACGGAAAGTGGCGGAGGGGTTGGGGGCGGAGATGGCGGGGATGCGGGAGCGGATGGTGGAGTATGTGATGGGGCAGAAGGGCGCGGAGCATAGGCAGAGGGAGGAGAGTGCAAAGAGGGAGGAGGAGAGGGCGCGGAGGGAGGAGGCGGAGAGGAGAGTGAAGGAACTTGAGGCGATAGTGGAGGGAGGGAGGGCTGTGGGGGGGAGTGTGGGGGGGAGTGTGGGCGAGGGGAAAGAGGGGGAAGGGGAGGAGGTTGGGGAGGAGAAGGGGGAGAAGGGGGAGGAGGTGGGAAAAGAGGTGGGAGGGGTGAGAGGAGAGGCAGGTGAATCAGAGCTGGAGGATTTGAGGGAGAAAAACGCACAGGCGTTGAGGTGAGAAATGCGCACAGGCCTCACCGTTTGTCTTCCACCATCGTTTCCCCCCTCTTTTGAGTCGACTCAAAAGTCAGTTCATCACCTCAAAAGTCAGTTCATCACCTCAAAAGTCAGTTCATCACCTCAAAAGTCAGTTCATCACCTCAAAAGTCAGTTCATCACCTCAAAAGTCAGTTCATCACCTCAAAAGTCAGTTCATCACCTCAAAAGTCAGTTCATCACCTCAAAAGTCAGTTCATCACCTCAAAAGTCAGTTCATCACCCCAAAAGTCAGTTCATCACTGCTGAGTATTGTGGAATTGCATGCTGGGTGCTGTGGCAAGAGCCGGGCTTATCCCCTTCGTTTCATCTCACCCACCCCCTCGCCCCCCCTGCCCCCCACAGGCAACCCTAGTCAAGCCTGGAGCAGGAGCTGGACCACAGTCAGCATGAGCCGGACCTCCCCTCCTTGGGGCCCCTCTCTTCCTGCCCATACTCCTTTCTTCCTGCCCACACTCCTTTCTTCCTGCCCACACTCCTTTCTTCCTGCCCACACTCCTTTCTTCCTGCCCACACTCCTTTCTTCCTGCCCACACTCCTTTCTTCCTGCCCATACTCCTTTCTTCCTGCCCATACTCCTTTCTTCCTGCTCATACTCCTTTCTTCCTGCCCACACTCCTTTCTTCCTGCCCACACTCCTTTCTTCCTGCCCACACTCCTTTCTTCCTGCCCACACTCCTTTCTTCCTGCCCACACTCCTTTCTTCCTGCCCACACTCCTTTCTTCCTGCCCACACTCCTTTCTTCCTGCCCACACTCCTTTCTTCCTGCCCATACTCCTCTCTTCCTGCTCATACTCCTTTCTTCCTGCCCATACTCCTTTCTTCCTGCTCATACTCCTTTCTTCCTGCCCACACTCCTTTCTTCCTGCCCACACTCCTTTCTTCCTGCCCACACTCCTTTCTTCCTGCCCACACTCCTTTCTTCCTGCCCACACTCCTTTCTTCCTGCCCATACTCCTCTCTTCCTGCCCATACTCCTTTCTTCCTGCCCATACTCCTTTCTTCCTGCCCATACTCCTTTCTTCCTGCCCATACTCCTTTCTTCCTGCCCACACTCCTTTCTTCCTGCCCACACTCCTTTCTTCCTGCTCATACTCCTTTCTTCCTGCATCCTTCCCTCCCCCCCACCAGGCAACTGGAGGCAGCAGCCGAGGCCCAGACAACCATAGAGCAAGAGCTGGACCAGCTGTACCCGGAGCTGCAGCACCTGGGGTTGCAACACGAGCAGGAGCTGTCCTTCCCCCCCCCCCCACACCCCCCACCCCCCCCCAACAGGCAACTGGAGGCAGCGGCGGAAGCACAATCCAGTCTGGAGGCGGAGGTGGACCAGCTGCACCCCGGAGCTGCAGCCCGAGCAGGAGCTGCCCACCGAGGTGGTGCTGGTGCTCCTCCCTCTTGACCCCCTTGCTCCCCTGCTTCCACCCCCTGCGTACCTCCTACAGGCAACTGGAGTCTGCTGCAGAAGCACAATCCAGCCTGGAGGCGGAACTAGACCAGCTGTACCTGGAGCTGCAGCACGAGCAGGAGCTCTCCACCGAGGTGGCGCTGGTTGCGGAGGAGGAGTGGCGGGGCCGCCAGGACGCCCTCAGAGCCCTGGCCGAGGCGCACCGCCAGCTCTCTGCTCTCGGCAACGATGCTGCTGCCAGTGCTGCTGCTGCTGCTGGTGCTGCTGCAGCAGCAGCTGCTGCTAGTGGTGGTGGTGCTGGTGCTGTCTTCGGTGGTGAGGGTGAGGGGCCTGCTATGACAGACAGGCAGGACAGCTGGAGGAGGAGGGCAGGGGACTCGCCCTTACTTCCCCCGCGCCCCAAGCTCCCTGCTGCGGAAGGCAACGGCGAGCCCACCACAGCCGCACCTCCCAAGCCACAGCAGCAGCAGCAGCAGGGAGAGGGCAGGGGCGGAGGGGGCGGGTTGGGGCTGGAGCGCACATCATCTGACATGCTGTCGTACGTGCACGGGGCGTCGGAGCTGCTCAAGGGGCTGGCGCGGCCGGACGAGGGCGTGTCGATGGGCATCAAGCTGCTCGCGCTCAAGAAGGGGCTCTCCTACAGCCGCGCCGTGCACGATTCCCTGCGCACCGACGCTGGCGTGAGCGGTGATGCAGGGAATGCTGCTGCTGCTGCTGCTGCTGCTGCTGGCACAAGTGCAGGCGCCCCTGGTGAGGCGGGAGCAGCAGGAGGAGCGGTGACACCCCCAGCAGTGACCGCCGGGCACGCATCAGCCAAGGCGGGGCGGCTCAACCGCTCTGCCTCCCGGCGGCTGAGCGTGTCCCTGCTGTCGCCGCGCTCCGCAGTGCAGCAGCGCTGGGAGCAGCTGTCAGCGTCGCTCATAGCAGAGAGAGAGGCACAGGCCGCCTCAGGTGCCGCCAGGTGGGGCACCTGGCTGCAGGGCCGTGGGCCCTGGTGGCCCTCTGTTTCTCCAGGTGTTTTGCCAGGTGGTTCCCCTGGTGTTTTCCCAGGTGCTCCAGGCGTTTCTCCGCGTGTTTCAGCAGCAGGAGTGGGCGCGGGGATGCGAGGAGCAGGAGAGGTAGCAGGAGGGGTTTTCGGGGAGCAGGCGCGGCACCGGTCAGCGTTTGTGCATGTGATGCTACAACTGCCGCTGCACCGCGTGGGGGTGCTTGAGGACCGCATTCAGGCGGCTGTAGCAGCAGCTGCAGCTGTATCAGTTCAGCCGGTTGTAGCAGGTGAGGTGGCGGGTGTAGCAGCAAAGGCAATGGCTGCTGCCGGGGAGAGCGTGAGTGAGCCCGGTGCTGGCAAGGCTGCAGCAGCGGAAGGGGGTGGGAAGGTAGGGCTGCTGGCTGTTGCTGTGTCTGCATTCGCACCCAAGGCGCCTGCAGGTGTCACTGTTGTTGCTGCCAGGGAGGGCCAGGCAGGGGCAGGCGCAGCAGGGGCACCAGCAGCAGCAGGAGCCACTGCTGGAGCAGCAGGTGGAGCAGTGGAGAAAGAGGGGGCAGCAGCAGGGGCGCAGAAGGTGGCAGGGGTGGAAGAGCCAGGCGCAGCAGCATCATCAGCGACAGCTGGGGTGACAGCAGTGTCAGCAGCAGCGACGGCAGGAGCAGCAGCAGCAGCAGCAGCGGCAGGTAACCTCGTGAGCTCGCTGCAGGGGATCAAGTTCTCTGGGCTGGGCCTCTGGGGGGCGCCTAAGAAGCACGAGCCTGCTGTGGCTGTCACTCCAGCCCCTGCTGCCAGTGTTGGGGAGAGTGCCGATGCGGGTGCTACAGGTGATAGTAAAGGAGTTGAGGGTAATGAGGACACAGGAGGCAAGGATGCTGCCAGTGCAGCAGGAGCAGGAGCAGCAGCAGGGGAAAGCAAGAAGCCCCTGCTGCAGATTTTTGTGGGAGAAAGTGCGGCTAAGGACAGAGGAAGTGAGGCAGCAGAGGCAGTGGAGAGGACACAGGCTCAAAAGGTTAAGGAGAAGGAGCAGGGGAAGAGCAAAGGAGCAGGGGAGCAGGCAGCAAGGGAGGATCAGGAGGCGGAAGAGGAAGCAGAGGAGGCGGAGGACGTGAGTGGGATGAGTGAGGAGAGGCGGGAGACGGAGGTGCAGGCGCTGATGCTGCAGGCAGAGGCTCTGCGAGGCACCGTGGCACTCTGCATGAAAGAGTCAGCCGCGGTCAGGCAGAGGCTGAGGGACGCGGAGAGGGAGAGTGAGGAGATGCGCCGGGGGGGAGCGGGAGAGGAGGGTGGGGAGGGAGAGGAGGGGCAGGATGGGATGGTTGCGGTGGTGTTTGCGGAGGTGGATGAGGAGGGGATGGGGGCGAGGGAGGGCGGGAAGGGCGGGAGGGAGAGGGGGGTGGGAGGGGGAGGGGGAGGGGATGAGCAGGAGGCGGCTCTGGTGGTGGCGATGCAGGACGGGATGGCGTCGCCCGCGGTGGGCAGGGATGGCAGAACTGTTGGGAGGAGGATGATGGATAAGGTGAGCTCACATACAGATGAGTACATAGAGATGGGTACACGTGTGGCGATGTAGGATAGGATGGTATTGCCCGCGTTGGGCAGGGATGGCAGAACGAGTGGGGGAGGATGATGGGTAAGGTGAGCTCACAAACGGATGGGAGGAGTACTGAGGCCCTGTTTGCCCTGTTTGCTTTGCACCACGGATATATTCCATTCCCGAGCGTACGAGTGGGGGAGGATGATGGGTAAGGAAGGAGTGGTGGCGATGCAACCCCCTCCTCTCTCCCATTTATGTTGAATTCTCATCCTCCCCCCTTCCCACCCTACACACTCTATCCCACTTCCCCCATCATCCTCCCCATCAATCTCCCCATCACCCCCCCATGCAGCAGCGGAGGGCCATTGACTCCTTCGTCAAGCACCTACTTTCCTCCCTTCCCCCCATCATTTCCCCCCATCATTCCCCCACCCACCACCCCCCTCCTCCCCCTTCCCCTTCCCCCCTCCCCCCTCTCCCCCCCCCATCCCCCCATCAGCGCCTGGAGTCCTACCGGGCAGCGGTGGAAGCAAAAGAAACCGAGCTGGCGCATGTGATGCAGCAGCTGAGGGCCGTTGACTCGCGCATGGAGCTGCTGCTCTCCGCCGAGCCGCCCTCCCCCCCGCCTGCCGCCGCTCAGGTGAGAATCGGTGCTCTGCTGTACCCTATTTAAGCTGGCTTCGACCTCACCCCCCCCTGCTGCTACCCAGGTGGGCTTTGGTTGTGCTGATAGCTCTATTGTTCATCCTTTGCTGCGCTTTCCTCTTTCCCCCTCCTCTCCTTTCTTCTTCATCCACACCCACCCAGCACTTGAATTCATCTCAACCACACCTCACCCATTTCAAACTCTCCGTCCACCCACGTTGCCCCCCTCCCCTCTCTCACCATGGAGGGGGGCTCTCTCTTCTCCTCTTTGGGCTCTCACCGTGATCAAACCCCCTTCCTCCCCCCACTGGTGCCCCTACTTTCCTTCCCACCAGAGCGGGGGTCTGTTCGCAGCCACGGGCTCTCTCTTCTCCTCCATGATGCCAAGGGCTGCTACTGTGCCCAGAGCCCCCACTGTGTCCAAAGCCCCCTCCCAGCCGCTACAGTTCGCACAACTGCTTGCCCTCTCCCTCACCCCGCCTCTCCAAGCCGACAAACCCACCACCACCACTGCTACCACCACTGGTACCGCAACTGCCACCGCCACCCAGCCAGCCCAAGCCATTGCTCTCCCCGCCCCTCACCCAGTCGACCTGCCACCTCAGCCGGCATCAGCACAAACTCAGCCTCTGCTCGTGCCACTTCAGCCACTAGATTTGCCACGTCAGCAGCAGCCCCGCCCCGCACAGTCTGACTACCCCCGCCTCGACTCTCCTCGCACGCAACCCCAGGGGCAGGAGAAGGCTCCATCTGGGCAGGTTTCTGGGCAGCAGGAAACTCTCTACAGGCAGGACGAGCCGGCGTACGGGCAGGATGCAGGATACAGATCTGGGCACAGGCTCGGGCACGGGTCGTCAGGAGGGGGATCACCCCGGTCTGGTTCGGGAGGATTGGACCCCGGGTCTCCCTACTCCGATGACTACCCCCCTTCCCTGCAGGCTGTGGACCTGAGGTCGCCTGGACCCATCGATCTGCGGTCCCCTGGGCCCATGGATATGTCCCCCGATGCCATGGGGTACGAGGGCCAGGGCGGGTTTGGGTTCGGCGGGTTTGGACTCATGACAGACATTCCCTAGGGGACTGCGACCACCATGATCTGGGCTGGGGGGATGGGGGACCCCACCCGGAGCTCAAGACACGCAGTCTCCAGACTGGAAGCAATAAGGTCGGGGGGAGGGGGAGGTGAGGGTGGAACCTATTTATGTGACCTTGCTCTGTCTTAGCAAGCTGCAGGTTTTTAGTTCTGTTTCGAGTAGCTAGATAACTGTGGTGGTATGTCTTGGGACTTGTGAGTAGCAACGAAGGCACGGTACAGTAGGCTGAAGCGCGTCTCAACTCAACTGAAAGGCCTGTGCCATCGTATGTTGCAATTTAATGCTGCAATTTAATGGAAAGGATACTTCTCAGCAAATACCGGTACTACCAAACCAGCACCACTATTGTGTGCACGTTACTGCCCATTTGGCAGTGCCAGTGCAAAGAACACCTCACTACATTTCCGCAACAGAATGTGCAAGTAACTTGAATTCATTGCGAAGAACACTATACACGAGCACAAAGTGTTTTATCTACACGAGTTACTAATGATTTGGTTCCGAGTGATACGCAATGAAAACAAAATCAAGCCACATTGGGTGGGTGGGTGGGTGGTCCCGACTAGCATCACAAGCTTAACAATAAGTCGCAATGTGTGGCAGCATCCAAGACTTGAGCTGATCCCTGGTCGTAGCAAGGGTTGCTGTATCATCAACTGTCAAGCGAACACAGCATGGTCACAGGCACGGCATGGGTGCCAGCACTGGCAGCTCACATGCGCAATATGGTATAGATGTGTGGGTAGTGATGTGGGTATTGATATGGGTGGTGACAGCTGGCAGCACAGCTGACCTCCAAAAATACCTAACAAAAGCATCCTACTCCTAGCAGAATACCCAGCAAAACGCATTAACCATGCCTTCTCCTACTCCTACCACAATACCCAGCAAAATGCATTAACCATGCCTTCTCGTACTCCTAGCACAATACCCAGCAAAATGCATTAACCATGCCTTCTCGTACTCCTAGCACAATGCCCAGCAAAATGCATTAACCATGCCTTCGCTGTCAACTTATACATATTAGCTTTGTAGAAGTTATAGGCTAGACTGAGGTATGCTTCTAGTGAGTACACCCTGTTAACGTAGAAATGAATGATTACTAGAGGTGGAAACCTAGAACAAATACTAGTTGGTTGTACTCACTAGAAGCATACCTCAGTCTAGCCTATAACTTCTACATAGATAATATGTATAAGTTGACACACCCCCTAGGCTAGACAAGGGGTGAAACTAAACAAGAAGCAAACAGCTCAGGGCGGCACTACTAGTCCAACCACTGAGGCAGGGGTCTGGAGACCAGTCAGCAAGAATACAACCAAAACTGAAGCAAGCCAGGGTGGCACTACTAGTCCAGCCACTGGAGGTAAGGCCACAAGGCCAGTCTGACAAGCATATATAATAGAGAGTACACAATCAGGATCCTAACAGGGGAGCAGCTATAGGAACAAGACCAAGCTGTACACAGTGCCGCTGATGATCTTTAGGCGCAAGCGCCTTAGTAAAGATATCAGCTGTGTTGGCACCTGAGGCCAAGTGAACTACGCGGGCCTGGCGGCGCTGCTGTAGCTCGCGCAGGAGGAAGTACCGCAGCTGGATATGCTTCGCTCTGCCCTCAAGCCGAGGCTCCTGACACAGGAGTATCATGGCCCTGTTGTCAGCGTACAGGACCGGGGCAGAGCTAGGCCGCTCACCTAAGTCTGTGAGCAAGAAGGTCAGCCAGCGGAGCTCCTGTGCCGCCATGGCACCAGCGTAGATCTCAGCCTCACAGCTAGACTGAGCCACAGACGACGAGCGAGTGGATCTCCAAGAGATAGCACCCGAACCAAGGCTGAAACAGTAGCCCTGCGACGACCTGAGCGTCTCAGCGTCGTCTGCCCAAGAAGCGTCTGTGTGCCCAGTAAGGACCACTGGCCTGCGTCCTCCTAGCACTAACCCCATGCCTGATGTACTAGCAAGATAACGCAAAACCCTCTTAGCGGCAGACCAGTGCTGAGGTCGGTGTCTGCCTGTAGCCACAAAGCGAGCCAGGATGCTGAGAGGGTATGCGAGATCTGGGCGAGTGCAAGTCATCAGGTACATGAGGCAACCCACCAGCTCTGCGTAGGGGCCACTGGGCTCTACTGGCTCCTCAGGAACGGGAGCAGAGAGCCCATGGTCTACGGGTAGAGGTGTGGGCTGTGCGGAGGAGAACTGAAGACCGAACCTCTGAAGGACCTGACGCACCAAGTGTGACTGGGTCAGAGTGATGGTGCGTGCTGCTCTGTCCCTAGAGATCTGCAGGCCAAGATAGCGACGCAGCTCTCCAAGGTCAGTGCAGGTGTGTCTCTTCAGCAGCTCAGCCTTCACAGAGGCCAGTGCGTCCCTGTCAGGAGTAGCGAAGACCAGGTCGTCTACGTAGACAAGGATGTAGAACGGAGTCTGGCCGGAACGCACAAACAGTGAAGGGTCAGCAGAGGACGGAAAGAACTGCAGGTCTACTAACGTGGCACGTAGCGTGTCGTGCCACTCGCGGGGAGCCTGACGCAGGCCGTAGACCGGGCGCCTGAGAAGCCACTGGGTCCCAGGAGGGAAGGTACCAGTGAAGCCCTGTGGTCGGCGCAGGTAGACCTGCTCGTGTAGGCTGCCCTGAAGAAAGGCAGTAGAGAAGTCGAGGGAGTGAAGCTCGTAGTCACGCTGTGCTGCTACGTGTAGCAGCGCCCGAAGAGTGGTCATCTTCGGGGTCGGGGCGAAGGTCTGGAAGAAGTCAACCCCCTCGCGCTGACTGAAACCTCTGGCCACGTAGCGCGCCTTGAAGACAGGCGGCTCTCCTGGGGGCGCTTCACCTTGAAGAGCCACCGACCATCGACTACGTTCACCCCAGGCGGGGGAACTGCGTCGACGTAAGTGCCGGTGGATCTCCAAGATGCCATCTCCTGCTCCATGGCAGCTATCCACTGAGAGGCCCAAGGTCCCGAGGTGGCCTCAGCGTAGGTGCGAGGGGTCGGGATGTCGAAGGCGTCTGGGTCACCCTCAGGGACTAACAGCATGGAGCAGAGATGGGGAGCAGCCTCGGAAAGGAAAGCCAGCTCGTACTGCCTGTCCTCTAGGACGTCACTGCCAAGGGCAGGAGCACCCCCGACGGACAGAGGACGGGCAGGGTCAGAGACCAGAGCGGTAGCGTAGTCAAGGCGGCGGGTAGAAGCGAAGTCAGCGACAGCAGCGACAAGCGCGTCAAGGCGCGAGACAGGAACAGCAGGGTCGGTAACAAGAGAGGCAAGGACCCGAGGGACAAGGGGACGAGCAGCACGGAGGTAGTCAGAGAACGGAGGAGGTGCAACAGCAAGGGACGAGGGAGGAGGGGACGGGAGGAGGGGAGGACGAGACGAGTGGGAACGGAGCAACATAGGGTGGGTGGGCAGGACAGGAGAGACGGGACGAGCACGGGAGGGACGGCGAGCCCAAACGTGAGACGGAGGGGTAGGGTCAGGGGACAGCGGAGGAGACACAGGAGGGGAACGAGGAGGAAGACGGGCCGGAGACGAGTCTGGCGGCGGGAACACAGGACCGTAGACAGGGAGGTCAGGAGGCGGTGGGGGAGACACCGGCGCGCGGTCCGGGGAGGGAAGGCCGAGCAGGCGGAGAGCGGAAACCGGCGGCGACGGCTGCTGCGGCGGCGACGACGGCTGGGCCGGAACTCTCGGACCAGCAGAGGCAGAACGACCGTCGGCAGAACACTCAACAGCAGCACCCCCAGAACCAACACCCCCAGAGCGAGAACCCCCTCCAACACCAGCGGCACCCCCAGAAGCCGCAGGACGAACACCCTCCTCCACACCAGCACCCCCAGGGGCCGAGAGCAGCGGCGGCAGTGGCGGCAACGGCTGCGGCGGCGGCGACAGCGGCGACGGCTGCGGCAGCGACAGCGGCGGCGGCGGCGACGACAGCGGCGACGGCTGCGGCGGCGACGGCGACGGCGGCGGCAGCGGGGTCGGCGACTGCGACAGTGGGGGCGGAGGCACCGGGGAAGGGGGACGCGGCAAGGACGGACCGGGGGTACCACCAGAGTCAGCAGACTCCTCAACGGGGACAACCGACGGGAGGGGAGTGACGTGGGAGACACCAGACGGGGCAGGACGAGGCGGGAGAGGGGCAGGGGCTACCGGGGGAGAGGGAGCAAGGAAAAGGGGGGGGCAACTGGGAGACCTCGGTGAGGGAAGCGGCGGTAGAAGGAGACGGACTCATCAAAGGTGACGTCACGAGAGTGGAGGAAGCGGTGAGACGGCGGGTGGTAGAAAAGCCAGTCAGACGAGTCCAGGGGGAAACCGAGGAAGACACAGGGGACAGTGCGGGCAGTGAGCTTGTCCGTGCCAGAGGCACGAACGTGAGCAAGGCAGCCCCAGACGTGGAACGCAGACGCGTCACCGGGGGACCCGGTCCAAAGGAGGGTCGGCGAAACCTGCGGCCGCTGGGAGCGTGGCCACAGGTTAAGCTGGTGAGCCGCGTAGCGAACAGCGAACGGCCACAGAAAATGGGGGGCATCGGCATGGATCATGGAGGTACGGGCGACCTCCATGACCAAGCCGATGCGGCGCTCAGCAACCCCATTCTGCTGTGGCGAGTCCGGCAACGTGTACGACTGGGTGATGCCCTCCGCACGACAGAACTGTCCAAGCCGACCAGAGGCGAACTCGCCGCCACGGTCGGAGTGGAGACACAACACGGGGAGACCGCGGTGGAGACGCGCAGCCACAACCCACGGGAGAAGAACGTCGGGCACGTCGGCCTTCCGCTCCAGGGGAAACACCGTGGTGTAGCGCGTGTAGTCGTCGACAAGCACAAGGAAGTAGCGCTCACCGCGCGGTCCGGGGACGGGGGCAGGGCCCCAAACGTCCAAGTGCAGGGTCTGAAGGGGGGCAGTAGCAGGACGCAGCGAGGAGGAGTGAGGAGCACGGCGGAGCCGACCCTCGACGCAAGGCGTGCACGGTGGCGCAGTCGAGGGAGGAAGGGCAGGGAGCGACGCGGGGAGACCTAAGACAAGACCGTGCTGGGACATGTGACGCAGACGCGGGAGAGCAGGGTGACCTAAGCGGTGGTGCCAGAGAAGGGAGGGGTGAGTGAGGGACCGACACGAGCAAGCTGCAGCGACCTCGGAGGACGCACCAACCGGGGGGGAAGCGGTGTGTAGGGTAAACAGACCGGACACCGGGTCCCGGGGGAACGTCGCAAGGGGGGAACCTGAGACAGCCTCAGAACAGACAGCGAACCGCTCGTGCCCGGGGAACGTGGTGGTGACGCCGAGGTCCTGGAGACAGCCGACACCAACCAG